ATGAGTTCCCTCCCCTCTCGACATGTATGGTTGTGCGACTGTTGTCTACTTTTATTATTTGTATTTTGTCTTTTATGTTCCCCTTTTTCCCCCTTGAATTGTTCGCCGCCTTGAGTCCTCCCGGAGAAGGGCGGCATACAAATAATACAATACAATACAATACAATACTCATGTAAGAATGGAGTAAGATATAATTAATACAAATATCCATCAAAAATATGCTAATTCTACCCAAAGGAATTACAACTGGTGAACAGAATATAAATTCTAAAACAGACCATTTAAAATAATAAATAAAGAGGAGGCTCTGCTATGAGATATAAGATTTTGAATTCAGGAAGTATAATGCATGTAAAATTAGTGATCAAAGTGAGGAATCACACAATTCAAGTTTAATATTTTTCTACATTTGACAACTATGATTGCAGTATGTTACATGTAACAGTAAATTTGCATAATGAAATAACTTCTCCATTTTAAATGAAGCTCACACACAAACCTGGATAGCCTGTTTTTCACTGATCTTTTTATTTGTCCATGCAACCATTACAAGGTTTATAAATATCATATACATTTTTCAGCAGTAGAAGGCTTTCAGTATTAAGCAGCTTCATTTCTTTTCTCAGAAGTTTCCACTATTTACAACACAATTATGCACACAAACTCAAAATTAAGGTCCACTGTGTTCAATGGACTTTGCCCCTAGGCAGAGGTGCTCAAACTTTCTCAGTTCATAACACCTTTAGTATGTCAATAACTTTTGTCACAGGAATCAAATACTCCGCAAACAAGGTACAGTGATATCCTTGGGCACCACAGCTAACTTACTAACAGTTTCATGTAAGTATCAGTAAAATATTATGTAGTACCTCTGTGAATTTGCGGAAACACCTTGTGGCATGTAGTTTGGGAACTGTAGCGCTAAATGGGCTTAAGTTTTCTGCTAAGGTTGCAATCACAGACTGATCCACTTGAGTGACAATAACTTAAGAAATTAATAATAACTTAAAACTTGAATTAAACATTGAAATTACTATTGGCAAAATAATACTTTACACTTTTTTTGTGGCAAAACATACAAAAACAATTACTTTATATATTATGTAAAATAGTTGCATACAGAGATATCATTTTTAGTTTTCCAGGAAAAAGCATAACTGATTTTAGATTAATCCAATTGATCTTTCATGTATTTTATGAAACTAATAGAAATATGTATGTATGTACGTATATATGTGTACACACACACACACACACACACACACACACACACACAGTAAGCTTCTTTAGACTATAATATTGCATTTATTACAAACACTTCTAAATATCTTCCAGAATATTAATCTGACTCGGTGATAATAAGAAATATGATTCCATCTGAACATCTTAAATTTGTCAGATAAAACTATTTCATGCAATATTTCCCTCTTATCCACTGACTGGAGAGTGATAGAAATAAACAAATAAGGATGAATTGCCTAGGCATCTACCGATAATTTCCCCTAACCTAACTTCCAAGAAACATTTACTTTAACAGGTGACTTTCATTTTTGTCATGCACATGTGAGTAATGTAATACCGCTCTGAGGCATTATGGAAAATTACAGTGGCAATACCCACTTACCCAGTCTCTACCATTGCCAATTAAGTCCATCAAAAGGTTAATTATGAGAGCCTTCGTCCCACCAGCAGAAGGTCAAATCTTTTTAAAGAAACCAAACTCCAATTGGGTACTCCAAAAAAGAGGTTAGATTTAGCATTTTTCCTTCGCAGAGCTGCTAAGTAATGGCATTATATGCTTTCTGGAAGTGCCCATCCAAGTTAAAATTAAACTAAAGTCTACATATTCAAAAACCTCCTAATTCAATATTAAAAATATACCCCAACCTTTTAGGTTTTTTTTTTTTTTAAATAATCTATCTTCAAGTTTTTTCTCTTTCCTTTTGACCTTTCTAAAATTCTTTACATTTGCAACACTGCAATCCTGTGGCTACTTAACTATCTTCTATATATCGGTAACTGCATTATAAGTTGAAGAGGCGTACATAAACCTCAGCTTTTCAATAAGGATGGCACTGCCACATTCCCTTATGGGGAGATAGAAGCTGCAAGTTTCACAATAAATCAAAATACAAATGATTCAATATTTCAGAAGACCCATATTATGCAATGATTTGGGGCATTAGCTCTCAGATTAAAACAATTGACTTCTGAGCTTGGCAAACCTGGGGGAAAAAATTGCAATTTTGATTGTGGACAAGTAGGAAATTATATCAATGTGTATGATGAATGTTGCTTTAGGAAGAAAGTCAGATGATTTAAAGTTATAATTGCTACCAACTGTTATTAATCATTGTAATATAAAATCAGATTGACTTCTTTGCGAAATTTCTTATGATCTAGATTACAATTTATAATGCTAGCTATCATTTTTTAAGATACTTTAAGACAAATAATTATTCTAATAATCTGGAAAAGGCTACAAGCTTAGAGCTGGTTAGCTTTACAGTAAAATTTTACTGTTTTTCAAATTTAATTATAAATCAGATCTTCTCATAGAAATGTGAATTGTGTTGACACAACTACAATTTTCCTGCTATGGCTATGCTAGATATTTCGAATGATCTGGACCTTAATCAGAAATTAAGTTTTCCTCTTTTGGGGGAAGGTGTAAAAGAAAGATATTACTTCATTTTTTAAAAGTTTAATATGGCAACAATGCACGCTATATACCACATGAAACAGTAGAAATGCCTTAATTTAAATGTAAAAGGTGGGTGGAATAAATAGTCCACTAAAAAGCACCTTCAGATACCCCCCCACTTCATAATTGTCACTTAAAAAATTCACTACACCGAGCAATTAGGTTAATGAAAAAGTGAAATATGAGACCACACTAGGAAATGTATCCCCCCTTTCAATATTTAAATCTAAATCACTCTAACAGCTGTTAAGTCAGTTTAAAAATAGAACATATAGTAGAAAAAACGATTCTCTGAACCTATCCTTTGTAATTGGCATCTAATAGCAAAAACACCTTGGAGCATGGATGGAAGATACAGATAACCTCTTATTCCCATTATAGCTAGATGACAAACTTGTTCAAAAATATTAGGGTTTCAGATTATTTGTTCCTATAGGGAAAAGGTTCAATTTTCCCCTTCACTTATAGCTGGGAATATTAGAAATAGTTACTGAACTTAACATTGACCCTAGCACCATATTTTGAATATTTTTAACCATCTTGTTCTAATATATTATGTAAAATCGAGACTCAGGTTTATGAGTAGGTAGTACCTCTACTTTCAAAATGTGAAGAGAAGGATGCAGCACTGATTTTCAGGGTGAGTAGGTCGTGTAAGGTTATAAAAAAAGACAGGACAGGAAGAAAGCAAGAGTTATATATATTATGCTTCTTTGACCTGAGAAATCTAGAAGAGCAGATTTGAATTTCAGAATGCTTAAATATGTCCTTGTTGATGAATTTGAGGAACTTAACTATAGGTAGCACTCAACTGATCATTTGAAATTATGACAAGAGGTACTCCAAAAAGGTACTAATGACCTAATTTCTAAGTTCCCATGACCATTCCCTTGAACTCATATGACTCCATTTTGGACTTGGCAACTGGCTCACATTTATCCTCATTTACAATGTGACAAACTCCAGAAGATAAAAATGAAATTGAAAATAATATTAACAGGTTAAAGGGGCTTAAAATAATAGAATGCAATCTACCAAAGTTTAAAAGTAAGTTTTACAGTAGGACAGGAGTCCCCAACCCCCGGATTGTGGCCCACTTCATGTCCTTGAACCAATCAGAAACGGGCTGTGGAAGTGGTGGGCGAGTATGTGCGTGTACACATTCCTTCTTATATGAACAGTGGGGAAGCATGTACTCAGTGACGTGCAGTGAAGTTTATGGCTGGTGAGGCAAGCGGGCAAAAGCCGGCCTATGTCGGACAAGTGGCAGGGCTTTCAGATGCCCTGGCGCTGTGTCTGCCATAGAGGCAGGATGGATTCAAACGCCCTGGTGCTGTATCCGCCATAGAGGCACCTCTATGTCGGACACAGCGGCAGGGCGTTCGGACACCCTGCTGCTGTGTACAACATAGAGTCTGGGTTAGCTGTTGCCAGAGTCTTCAATGGATGACTCTGCTTAACTGTTTAAAAAAAACCTCTAAAAAAAGTGCCCTCTACAGGAGGAGGCGAGAGAACCGAGTGCCTCATCTACATAAGGAATTTTTCAGATTTTAACCCTTGCTTAACTCTGCTCAAGTGATCATAAAGTCAGACTAAATGAGGCACGTGGTTCCCCCGCCTCCTCCTGTAGAGGGCACTTTTTTAGATGCTTTTTTAAACAATTAAGCACTAAGCAGAGTCATCCAC